AAAAAAAGTCTTGTGGAGGTGGGTGGTGGGATGGGAAGCTATTTCTTCTTTGACATGCCACTTACCACTATTAGGAAAAGAGAAAAAGAAGCCATCCTGCCAGAGGAAATGCCTTTTATTAAAGCTGACAAGACAAATAGAGCAGGCTTTCCAGTTGTGATGGTGTGAAAAGCAAGCCTCATTATGCTGGTTGATTTTATTTCCTTTTGGGCTTTATTAGACAGCACCTAAAAGGGAGGAATCTGTATTTTTAAACTTGAGCGCCTTATTAAATGAAATAACAGTGACATTGGTGAGTTGAATTTGGGACATGTTGCTCCTGGTCGTCTTTTCTTTCCCATTCCAAACTTCACAGTGTGATCTTTTCCTCATTAATTTATTTGGATACTTGCGTGTTCCGGTCACCTGGGGTAAAACAGAAAGAATCAGCCATACCCCCACTCTGCCCCTCCTTCTTAACCTGCCCAGCTCGTCTGAGTTAGCGGGAGGATATTTTATCACAGGTTATCTGTTTTATGCTTTGGATACTGTTGTTTGGTTTAAGATTAGCACCTTGATTTTTGGTCACAGGTCATGTTTTTGATAGGTATGCCCTGCCTGCAGAAAACTCTTTTGCTCAGGTGCCAGGGTACCTTTGAACCAGCTCAGATGGAGATAAATCTGTAGAATTTTTAAAGTCCAAGAGTGTCTATCCTCAAGTCAGTGTTCTAATTTGAGGTTTGTGGAAGTACTTTTGTATTTCATCATTATCAGTTTGATAATGTTCAGAAGAAAGAATGATGGGTCTCCCTTCCCAAGAGATCTTGCACTAACTTTAGTATTCTTAGGGGTTTATGGATTTATTTACCTTCCTATGTTATTACACTAAAACTTACTTTAAAAATAATGTCACTTTATAAATCTGGGTGGCAGGTTTATCTCTGAAATGTTAAATAAGATGGTGTTTTTTAGATGCATTAAGAAAAGTCAGCTGGGATGTAGTTTAAAAGGAGCCAAATGCAAAATAAGTAATTCAGAAGTAAACTACGGTTTATCACAAAAGATAGTGAAGAAGTATTTTAGAAAGTTTGCACCGGTTAACTAGCTTTTATGAATTCAGTGTTTTACATTTCCTCCTCATATATGTTATCATCACAAAGGTACTCTAACCATGCCTTTTGGTTTTACATAAATCCTATCTTTTAAGATTTTGCCAGACTAATAATATAATCAAAAGACTTCAGTCTTTTTTTTGGGGGGGGGGAGTAGAAAACTTTAATTGCCACTTAAATTGATTTTTAAAATTTTTCTCTTAAAGACTTAAAGTTTAGTGGACACATAAGCTGCTTATGATACTGTGCAAGTGAAGTAAATATATTTTAGCTTACAGGAATGGACTTCAATTTAAATTTATGTTTAGATAAAATTAGAATTAAGTATTACATCTTGATCACAGTGTTTAAATTCTTTATATTGTAACTTGTGTAGTCATAGGAGTTTATTCGCTACATTGGGTTTCATTACTGACTCCGTTGATACCATAAGCATCCATTGATTTAGGTTCATAGAAAAAAAAAAATTAAACTTATTTGCTGTCAGATAGCTTTAGTGTTAGAATCTATCTTCTCAGGTATTCACTTCTGGGAAGTGGATGCTCAATTTTCAAATGCTGATAACTTTTTAGTTGCCAGAATTTATTGGGCGGTGGGCCAAACTAATTTCATGTGTTGAATTGGCACAAATTTCTGAAGCAGCAACTGAAAACTATCAGTCTGAATAGAAGTATATGATAACATTTGCCTAAATGCATCTTTCATATTTTAAAAATTTAAAAAACTGTAAGTATGAGTTTCACTTAAGTAGTGAGAGTAATAGAATGATCCTGTTAATGTTATGCTGAATTCTGAACTGGCTTGTTACTAAGTAACTTGGAGTAATGAAAATCCAAATCAAGGAGAATGTAACTCTTTGTCCTTGATTTCGTTAAGAATGTAAAAAGCTTCTAAATGACTTTAAAGAAGACTTTTAGTAATAAAACTTTATTTACTTCTCCCTTAGTAGCTACTCTTATAAAGATGCAAATGACTCAATATTAAGAACATCCCACTTAATTTGAATGAAGCATGCTATAAACAGTTTGTTGCTTCCAGTGAGATTGTTCTTTTAAATACTCTGTATATATTGAAAAGTTCTTAGATTCTTTCGACCAGTTGCCAAAATGATGCTAGGATAATTAAAGATGTCTTCTCCTGGTTGGCGTGAATGGATGGAATAGTGGCAGATACAACCAGCAGACTTTGAGAATACTGGTTCTTCTTGCATAGTGCCTCACTTCTGCTGAGGTCTGAGCGTCACACGTTTAACATGTTGTTCTCTGACAAGGAAACATACCTCTATAAGTCATCCGGGATTTACTAAAATTTAACCTAATCATATGTTTTCTTTGGGCTTTTTCAATTCTTGTAGGGACTTGTAAATTAAATATTTAATGTGAGTGTAGCAGGTAACTGACAACATTTAGTTTTGTTACCATGTAATCTTGAAGTTGTGAAAGTGATGTGAATTCTGGGTCAACACTCCCAAATCTTCTAGCTGTGTAGGTCAAATGTATATGGCTATGTAGAGAGAAGTAACTTTTCCTAATAATAATCCCTGGGTATTTTTCCTCTTTCAAAATTCTCTTTTTTTACTTTTTAAAACCTGACCCGTCAGTGTTTTAATATACGTATACCAGTATGCCAGCACGGTGCCTTTCCCACTGACAAAGAAATGGAATCAGTTTGGTTTAACTCTAAGAATTTGTTTTGAGGAAAGGTGGAAAGTTGATTTTGGTTTTGAATAACTTTTATTACCAGACTTGTAAAGGATTAACTTTGTTTTGGAATTTTCAGTGTTTTAAATAATATTGTTATATGTTAGAAACATAAAAAAGATCTTCAAGTAAAAGGCATTACTTAGAATCTCTTAACTTTACTAACTCTGAGCCTCCATGTAATATATCAGTTTAGTAGATGTAATGAGGTTTTATTATTTTGATATTTATTTATATCAGAATTTATATAAACACCGGAATAAAAATAAAGCCGTATGATGGAGATTTATATCTCATGTTTTTACCCTTACCCGTTTAGGAGACCTGAAGCAAATCTTCCTTCTTGTCCCCTATTTTATCTAGATACTTATAAAAGAGAAGTATGCTTCTTGCTTTTGGACAGTTTTCCGTAGAAGTTTGAAAAGTGAAGTTAGCTACTGAGATGTTATGTTTCATCCATTTTATGCATTTTGTTATATATTCATAATAAGCTATCGGAAGTAGTCACCTGTCTTTAGGTGACTGTAACATCAGTGCTAATTGGG